GCTGGGAGGCCCGGGACAATCAGCTAATCCAGGACATTAAAGTTATCCATCCTGGAAGTTGGCCTGAAGAGGAGTTAGACGTACAGTATGGGGATGTAGAGGTGCTACGTTTGTGCGAAGTGCTGAAAGTGGACAGAAGAGAGACTGTTCAGGGCTTTGGCGAATACAAGGAAACCAGGGCATCCCGTACACCTGCTGCCATGGAGCCTCTACTGAAAGCAGTCCGAACCATCGCTGTCTCCACTAGTGAGTGTGAGCGGGCATTCAGCTGCATGAACGATATCCTTACTGCAAAAAGGAATGCTCTCTCTCTCAGCCGACTGTCCAGCCTGGTTTTCATTAAATGTAATGGACCATCACTAGGACAGTTCAATCCGGAACAGTATGTGAGGTCCTGGCTGGCAAAGGGAAGGAGAAGTGCTGATGAAAGAGCCTGTCCAGCTCCAGCCCCTGATACTGATGTCCCCAAGGCCTTCTGGAGCCTTTTCTAACAATGTGAAGTATATTGCAAAGCAGCTCACCCAGTGAGAAGACTTTTGGCATAATGTGCCGATTTGTACAGATCCTGGAGATAGAAGGACTTCAGACCAACCAGGGAGTTATCTGATCAGCTTGGTGTTCAATGTAACTCTTTACCATGGCTCAGACTTTGTTACTTGCAGTTACAGTTTCTCATTTTAGATTGTGCAAATTTTGCATTTGTTTTTACATGTTCTTTGTTCATGCTCTTTATCATTTTTCTGAGTTGGAAAGTTAGATTGCATCATAGTTTACTTTATACATATTTGTATTCTTCAGTGGTGAAGTATATTGCAAAGCAGCTCAGCCATGTGAGAAGACTTTTGGCACTTTTTCGTTTTCTGAGTTGGAAAGTTAGATTGCATTCAAAATGTACAGAAATACTTAATTTTGTTAAAGCTTTTTATAAAAAATGCTTCTGACCAGAGCTTTGTTTCCTTGTCATTAATGTTGAACACCACCAGAGGGGCTCTCACCTGAAAGGTCTCTGCTTCATGTGTCTTCAGCAGAAGATCTAGACTTTGATTGCTATATTTTCAGTTAATATTGACCTTACTGAGCTTTAGCCATATCCGCTGCCTATCATAAAAAATGTTAAGTACAGTGAACCTTTCTAAAATATACATTAGTAAAGAGACAAACCCACCAGCATTATAGTAGCCAAATTCTTGTTTGTGGGCTGTATATATAAAATTGACTTGAAAAAGTTGCTGATTTTAGAGTACTGGCACCTTTTTCATTCCAATTCAAGCACTGCACACAGCCCAGAGTCCAACTGGTGCTGCGTCATTGCGTCATCGTTTGCGTCATGACGTAACCGTTTGCGTGCCTGCTTCATAAAGCCAAACCGCGCGGAGACCCCTCACAGCTGACACCCCTCACAGCTGACACCGACAACAACAACAATGGCCGATTGTGCTCCAGCTTCCTCTGTACCTCTTCGGAAGACCAGATTCCCAGTAGGTAGCTGGTCTCTTCAGTGGACCACTGCTGCTTGTTAAGTTTCTCAATCGTTGTATACAAACTGGATAAAACGCAGGCTTTTTGTTGTTGTTCAGGAGTTGATCCCGCCCCTGCTCCTGGCCCCACCTCGACGTAAGCGTGACATATGCGGTGCTTTTGCTCTGGCCGGACAATTTTTTGGTGCTTGAAACGAACCGGATTCCGGAACTAAGAGGCTGCTCCGCTGCGGTGTGAACAGGAAAACCCGGTGCTTTTCAAGCTCCAGCTCCGAACCGGCCCTGAAACACCGTTGGTGTGAATGAGGTAAGAGATCCTGATCAGACTCAGACTGCAGGTCAGAGGTCAGATTTATTTTATGGTGCTGGAAATGGAGCAGATCTTTATCCACACCATTGATAATGCTCTAAAGGTTGTTCATAATAACATACAATTCCATCAGCTATTTATTTTAATATTTGACTGCAACTGAATATAAACATAAATGAATAAATATAATTCAAAAATACAAGATCACCAATAACTGAACAACTACAATAATGAGCAAAACCATAAACAGATTCAGAATACTGTTTTTATCTGCAGGGGAGAATTCAATTGCATAATAGTTGCTCCATTTAAATAAAAATACAAAGATAAAATCAAATGGAATACTTATATTTAGATAAACAAAATAAGTTACTGTAAAAATGTGCAGACATAAGATGAAATGAATAAAATAAAATACAAAAATAAGGAATTAAGTGAGATAAGTAAGAAAATAACTTGATTATTACCCGTCTCCTTGTGTGTTATGAAGGTTTTTCTGCATGTAAACGGTCTGCAGAGTCAAAAACCCTCAAAGTACACCCTGTAGCGAGTAAAACTCTAACATAGAAAAGACCTGTCTATGCTGCCCCAGAACGCCTCGTTGGACATTTCTCTTTTTCCATTGTTTTCTTCCTGGGTACAGTGACGTGCCCATACCCAAATGGACCCATTGGTCCAATTGGAGCAATCCGTGGAGCCGTTACGTTACGTCCGCGGAGCCGTTAGGTTAAGTCCGTGGATTGGTCCGCCGATTTCTCCTCCCAGACGGTGGGACGCGGCGAGGCTGTGAGTCGGTGTGTGAGCACACACACAAACTCCCAGCCAGGCTGTGTGTGTGTGTGTGTGTGTGTGTGTGTGTGGTGTGTGTGTGTGTGTGTGTGTGTGTGTGTGTGTGTGTGTGTGTGTGTGTGTGTGTGTGTGTGTGTGGTGTGTGTGTGTGTGTGTGTGTGTGTGTGTGTGTGTGGTGTGTGTGTGTGTGTGTGTGTGTGTGTGTGTGTGTGTGTGTGTGTGTTCGGGCTGGGTATCGCTGTCTCGCAGACGGCCACTGGGCTCAAAGGGGAGGGGGGGGGGGGGGGCCCGGAGCTCCAACAGGCCGTTTAGGACAGAGAGTGAATACACATACAGAGATACTGTATGAGAAACCAATGTGAGTTTAGAACATTGAACAATGTAAATCTATTCTAGTAGACCTCAACAATGGAATTATGATCAGTGGAAATGGCCATGACATGGGACCTTTAAGGCCTCAGACCTGCGTGTGAGTTAGAGAGCTGGTGTCAGGTATGATGGATAATGACGTTGGCCTCCTGATCCCGAGCTGCTGAGGATTCTGGTATTTCTGAGCCTGAGGCTGCCACCTGGACTCCTTCAGAAAGCTGCTGATGCCTGTGGGGACATCTTCAGAGTGGTTGGTGTCTTTGTGGAGCAGTAATTATCTTTGCATGGTTGTAAAATCCCCAGTTAATTCTGAATTCTAAGTGTAGATTATTTCCTTTTATTAATAATGCAATGCACTTCATAGCCACATTATGCCAATGTCCTGTAATTGATAAGACTGTTGACACATCATTTTTTAATAATATTTGTCAGACTTAAATTGGAGAATAACAATCCACATGTATCACCATGTATGTAATTTAGGTGTTCAAATAAAAAGCATAACCATCTCCACATTAAAAGAGTCAAATCATACACAAAGTCAAAGGTTTCCTGCTTATAAATAAAAGGATAATAGTACTTTACAGTGTTTTAAATACAAGTTATACTACTGTCATACATAATATACAGGCCACCATTAGAGTAGCATAATATTAATTAGATAATTATTTCATTTTAAATAATTTGTGGATCTAAAATAATTGTTCACAGTGGCAAGTAGGTTTCACAATCACATTTCATAATCACAACGGTTCTTTTCTGCATTTAGTCAAACCTGTGCATGATTTACTCAAAATGCTAAGTGTTCTAAATGCTGCCCATGTGTTGTGCAGTTGGTGTGTGTGTTTTGTCACATTTGTGTTTTGTACTTATATCGTTTTTGAAAGTGCCGCGTGTTCCTACGAATGTAAGTGCTTCAGGCCGTTTTAGCGCGCTGGCCCCTGTCAGCCATCATAATGGTCACTTTCCAACACAGATCGCCGGATAGAGGATTCATTGTTGACATTAATCACAGACCAGACATTTAATTAGCAGATTAATCAATAAAGAAAAATATAAATGTCAGTCTACGTCAAAGAAATGCAATGCAAATAAACACAAGAGAGGAGAAATATCAATATGTAAGTGTATTATGTAAGACAACCGAACAATGTGACCTTAGAAAAGAAGAAACCAAGATATTTAGGATCAAAAAGGATTTGATTGATAGTAAAAGCTGCCTTTCATGAAGCATGTTCCGGCAGCAGCCTATACACAAACAAAGAAACACGTGAGCACGTACTACTGTTTAAAAAAGCAGAATCAAATCTGAGCTGACAGAAAATGCTCAGTTATAGTTTAACACACACAGTTTAGCTCACACACACTATTCTATGAACATATAGGTTCACCTGCTGAATTAAAAACAGAACTAATGTGTTTAAATGTGTTCTTTTTGTGTCCGTTACTCTCCAAGTGTGCTTGTTGATTCAAGAGTTGTTATTTCTGTGACTTGACTAACAACATCCTGTACAGCTGCAAGCATCATGTCCACACTCGTCCCCACATGATGTCCTTATTTTTCTATTAAAAGACGATGCTGTCTTCATTTTATATCCTGCCTCAAAGCACTGATTGGCTGGCATGTTGCCCACCTTCATCATTTGGGCTTCTGTGAGATGTAGCTCAATAACACTAAAAGGAGTCAGTGCAGTCTGTTTTCTAGGAAAGATTAAAGCCCCCTATGTACACCTTGTATATGTTCTAGTATACAAAGGGCCATAGGTGCTCAAAACATGCACACTTTGTACATTTGTGCCTGTTAGCTTGCACAGTTTCCATCCCCCGGTTAACAGATCCAGATGTTTTTCTTTTAAGCTCCGAGCTTCCTAATGAGGAACATGCAGGAGAATGAGGTGCGGCTGGGATTTAAAGTGTTAAAGGTCCCGGAGCCTGTGGATTTATAGATGTCTCTCCTGCAGCTCCGCAGGGTTTCCCATGCGCATCACATCTGGGTCAGGAGGCCCTGCGTGCCTGCAGCGGCGGGCAGGCGTCTGCATGTCTGCTGTCAGGAAGGACACATAAATACCTGGACGTCCCGATCCTGCTCTCACTTTCAGACCGTCTGCAGGTGGAAGACAGGAGAGAGGCTGAGAGACGCTAACATGGTCCCACTGAGGCTGGTCGCCTTCGGCTGTGAGTACCCACTCTGCTTTAGTCAAATATGCAGCATCCCTATTTGTATGTATTTATTCTCTCTAATTATGTTTCTCATACACATACTATGCAGGATATGTACATATGTGTGTGTATATTTGGAATCATTTGGGTTTTCAAGCTTAGAAAACATAGTTAGTTCATTATACATGTATAATAAATATGTATTTGACTGAATAATGTTGTCCAACAGAATGATGCATTGACACGAATTGCGGACACAAAATTATTTTTTGCTTGCAATTTGATTTTCCATTTTCTTCAGGATTCTCTTCATGTATGTTGAAATAAATTAAAGTACATTCAGAGCTTAATAACAGCTCGTATATATCCACCCCAATTCAAGACTGCTGTCATTTTTCAGATTTCATTTTGACATCAATACAGTAGGTCACAAATGCAAAAAAGTGTTAACATAAATGTATATCAAACAGTTTTATGATGCATTAAATGCATGTTCTGAATAACAGGGTGTGTTATACCTAAATAAACTCGTGTTGTGTTTTCAGTGCTAGCTGCTGCTTGGTATTTCACTCGTGCTGCTGGTAAGTCTTTCAATGAAACATTCAACTGGATTCAAAAGAAAAGTTCATAGCCATGTCATTTGACAGCATTATAGAAAAGAAGGTGTCAAACTAATAACTTGCATAACTTGTTTACAGTTTCATAACAAATGAATACATACAGATATTTCAAATCTAAAAAAACGAAATATCTCTGATCTTTTTACTGGAGATATTTGATTGTAAATACAAAAAAAGACAAACACAAGGGGCAGAAAGCACGATGATGATGATCTGGTTGTGTTTTGACAGAGGGAGAAGTCATCTACGCCTGTCTCAATGAAACCGCAGAGATGTCATGTGGTAAGAAACACAGGAACACACCTTCAACACACTCGTCTTAGGGAAGAGGATTCAGTCACTGTGACTAAACATTAGGACTGTTTCTAACTCATTCAACTCCTTATCAAAAGTGAATCTTGTATCTTATGATCAAGAAACCTCATTAATACAAAATGAAGCCTTATTTTTTTGTTAAAAAAGGCAACAGTTTGAGTTATTATAACCTCAGTTAAGATCACAGGAGCACAGCATGACTGGTATGTCACAGCTCAGTCAGGATTAGAAACCATTTGAAATCTTTAATGGCAGCTCCTAATGACACAAGACGCTATCAATCCAAATAAAAACAGAAAGTAATAAAAGTAGTGATCACTACTTTTTCTTGCAGAGGGAACACTAGTTTGAAACCCTTCATGATATTTTTTAAATAACCCATTAGTCCGACATTAAAACATTTAGAAACGGGTCCAATTCGACAGGTTATACCAACAGTTTAACCGTAAAGCAGAATTGACCAATACAGGTATATCATATTTAATGTTTACTATAAAACTGACACTTTTGTGGGGCATAAAAGCTAGTTTGGACAGGCATTAGCTCCTAGGTAATTGGTATACTTCATACTCTGTTCACTGGGATACAGAAAAGGCAGAAAGTAAACCAGCCAAGGACTTCAAACATTTAACCCCCAAACCCTCAACTCTCCAATCCGCCATTTAAACGAGCACCAAATGCACTTGTGCACTTTAAGACCATGTGCTATACTAAATAGTTAAACTTGTGGAAACTTCCTGTCCCCGGAGGGTTGATGGTTAAAAATGATGTCAGTCAGTTGGTGAGCACATTTATTTTTCAGCAGATCAGAATCCTAGTTTTTCTAGGGCGGGTACATTTACAGTAGCAAAGGGACAGTCCAAATGAATTAAAAATGAAAATAAGTAAGCTAACATATTAAATAAAGAAGCAAGCACATGTGTAATAAAATAAAAAATGAACACACCATGCTTTAAAAAAAGGAGAATAATTGGCAGCATATAATAGGTAAGTCAACTGTCAACTTTGTCATATACAAATGACAAATATGTCATTTGTATATTTTGGATTTTGTGCTCCAACAATCATGTTCAAGTCCCAGAAACAAGCCTCAGATTTTGTCAAAATAAAATATTGTTATGTCATGAAACATATAGGACAGTATTACCCAGAGTCCAGAGTAGGACCTGTGTAGATAGAAGTCCATTAAACACAGTGGTATTTGAGCTAAATGCTAATATCAGTGTGCTAAAATGTTTATTTTGGTCATTAACAAATGTATTCGAGAAAATTATCGTTCTATAATGTGGACCTCATGGCAACCAAATAACAATTCATACAACTTATTTAAATTCATACTCTGAGAAATATGAATGTTTGTAGAAAATGTCATGACAACCAATATCCAATTCAATAGTGTTTGATATGTTGAAGTGTAGAGAGAAGTGTGGGACCAAAAGATCTATCTTCAAAGTATGTGTGTGCTTGTAGAAAGGAAATGACACTCGTCTTTGTCCTCCTCCTGCTGCAGATGTTGGCGCTAAGATAAAGCTGGATCACATCCTGTATAAGGTGGGGGTGGGGACCAGGTGCGGCGAGGG